TCGACCAGACGGTTGTCGAAGTCCTCACCTCCCAAGTGCGTGTCACCCGCTGTCGCCTTGACCTCGAAGATGCCTTCTTCAATAGTGAGCAGAGAGACATCGAACGTTCCGCCGCCGAGATCGAAGATCAGCACGTTGTGCTCACCTCCTTTCTTGTCCAGCCCATAGGCGATCGCAGCGGCCGTCGGCTCGTTGATGATACGCAGCACATTCAAACCAGCAATAGCTCCCGCATCTTTAGTCGCTTGGCGCTGCGAGTCGTTGAAGTAGGCCGGGACCGTCACCACCGCGTTCTTCACATGTTTGCCAATGAATGCCTCGGCCACCTCTCGCATCTTGATCAACACCATAGACGAAATCTCCTCCGGTTGGAACGTCTTCGACTCGCCCTTGAACTGCACCACCAGTTGAGGTTTGTTCTCAGCACCACGAACTACCTTGAACGGCCAGTGCTTGATGTCCGACTGCACTTCTGGATCGGTGAACTTGCGCCCGATCAACCGCTTGACATCAAACACCGTGTTGTGTGCGTTCATAGCCACCTGGTTCTTGGCAGCATCGCCGATAAGACGCTCCGTGTCGGTGAACGCCACGTACGACGGGGTCGTGCGGTTGCCCTGGTCGTTGGCAATGATCTCCACGCGGTCGTTCTGCCACACGCCGACGCACGAGTAGGTCGTGCCCAGATCAATGCCAACGCTCTGCCCCGTAACCTTCTCAGTCATCGTAGTACGTGGTCACTGTGTTCTTGCTGTCGAATTTGACAATGATCTGGCCGATCTACATGTAGAGCTTCGAGAAGGACCCTGTCCCAAACTTCTGGTATTCTCTTGATCAAAAGCTAACTGCCACATCCAGTTAAACCGGAATAGTTCTTTTGAACTTCCGACGGTTGGTCAGTAGCGACTCGTCCCCGTCGTGTCGCTTGAATCTATCGCAGCGTCTTGATGTCGAAGTCCCGCCGTGCGTCGTACGCCGTCACGAGTGCCGAGCTCCCGGTGTTGAAGACGTTGGGGCTCGAGGAAGTTGACCCTGAAGAGGTTTTCGAGCTCCAGCGCAAGGAAGGCGCCGGCGCTTTCGGTCGTGTATTTCGCGCCTGTTACAAGAAAGACCGTACGCGCCTCGCAGCATTGAAAGTGATCCCCGTCGCACTTGAAGCCGGCGAACGGGGGGAAGACATTGAAAGCGTGAGACGCGAAATCCAATTCTTACGCGAATGCGACCACCCGAATGTCGTCGCATTCCACGGCGCGTACTACAAGGACGGCGCGTTATGGGTCGCCATGGAACACTGTGCAGGCGGATCGGTGGGGGATATCCGTCGCGTCCGCTCTTTGAGTGAACGGGAGATCTCCATCATCATGCGTGGGGCACTTAACGGTTTAGCGTACTTACACTCGCGTCGTAAGATCCATCGCGACGTGAAAGGAGGCAACATTTTACTCACGGATTCCGGTCAAGTCAAGATCGCGGACTTCGGTGTATCTGCTCAACTTCGCGATACTTTATCTCGACGCGGGTCGTTTGTGGGCACCCCATACTGGATGAGTCCCGAGCTCATTCAAGACAGCGACTATGACTTCAAAGCCGACATTTGGTCCTTGGGGATCACTGCGATTGAGCTGGCGGACCAGAAGCCGCCGCTGTTTGACGAACATCCGATGCGTGTGCTTATCCAAATCCCTCGCAACCCGCCGCCACTCGTCGCTCATCCAGAGAAGTGGTCGGCGGCGTTCTTGGATTTCTTGCGCTTCTGTCTACGCAAAGACCCAGCGGAACGACCCACTGCAGTCGAGTGTATGCAACACGAGTTCATACGTCGTGAAGCGCATATTGAACGGGTGTTTGCTAGAGCTGAGAGGGACAAAGAAGGCGTGCATATTGAGGCATCGCTGGCTGTAGCGGCTCCGGCGACGTCGGCTTCTATTGAGAAAGAACTCGAAGATGAAATTGCAGAGGAGATTAGTGATGCATCCTCTTCACTCAGTGATGCTGAAGAGGAGGCGTCAACGGGGCTACTGGGCGAAACATTCGAGTTTCGGGAGTCTCCGACTACGTCTCCATTGACCGGCACGTCAGACGCCCCCATTACAGCAAAGTTACAGCTAAATGCCTCTGCAAGTGCCGACGATCTGTTATCCCTCTCTACAGACGAGCTACCCGCTCTCAGTCAGAAGGACAAGCTGAAACAAGACCAAAGCACAGCAAGCATTCGCCAACCTGCGACTGAATTCAAGCTTCTACCTTCTTCTGCAAAATCCCCAGTCAAGCATGGCAACACTCGTGATTCCTCAGTCCGTTTTGTCAAGCTCAACGACTCTAGAACTTCTAGCGATGTGTCTTTAAACTCGTTGTCTATCTCTTCCGACACACCAGCTAAAAACCCGTCAAGAGCCCCGACATCTCTCCGTCCAAAGGCGTCATCGTCACCACCAACCTCTCCATCCGTTAAGTCGTCCTGGTTGTCCGTAGCGTCCCAAGACGACCCTCTTGCAAGCATCGACACCGTCACGAATGCTCGTGTTAACCGCCTCCTTTCGTCCTTCTCAACGTCCACATCGTCTCCAAGTCTGGCGGCTGCAATGCGCGCATACAACGACCAATACACCATCGACTCTCCCAAGCGAAACTCAAGACGACAAAGCTTTAACTGGCGATCAGAAGCTGCTTTAGGCTCCACCAACCGCGAGGAATCTACCCGTTCCAGTGG